ATATATATATATATATATATATATCTAGCTGGCTAGCATAGATAGATAGCTAGCTACATAGCTAGATAGATAGATGCTTTATCCGTTCAATATATTTCTGTCTATTTTTGTTTATTCTATATATTTATATTTATATTTATATTTATATTTATATTTATTTATATTTATTTATTTGTTTTATTTGCTGCAGTTTGCTCCCTCAATGCTACCCGCATTGCTGGAGACGTCCTTGCAGGGTATAGATGCTGCCGATCCGCTGAAGACATTTGTAACTTTATCTTTTTACTCGGTTTTGTTTAGCTTCATCCCTCTCATTGATTGCAGCGGGGTGCCTGCTGCACTTACTGATCAGCAACTACAAACTGTAAATATCAAATGCTGCTCCTGATGCTCCTGCTGCTGATGCTGCTGATGCTGATGCTGCTGATGCTGCTGATGCTGCTGATGCTGATGCTGCTGATGCTGCTGATGCTGCTGATGCTGCTGATGGTGTGCATGTTGCTGCTGATGGTGATGTTGCTGCTGTTGCTACTGTTCTTGCTGCTGCTGTTACTAGTACTGCTGCTGTTGCCGTTGCTGCTGTTGATGTTGCTGCTGCTGTATGCTTCAGCACCTGCTGCTGCAGCAGCAAGATGCAGTAGCAGCACCATATCGCACAGCAGCAACACAAACAGCAGCAGCAACAGCTGCTGCTGCTGCTGCTGCTGCTGCTGCTGGCAGTTGCTTTCCTAGACCCGAATCTGGTGTGCTGCTCTCATTTGTGACTTCTTGCTGCTGCTGTTGCTGCTGCTGTTGCTGCTGCTGCAGCTGCTGGCGGATCCCAACGCGCCTCCTCCTGCGAGCTTCGTGGAGTGTACTGACAGCAGCAGCAGCGAAGAGTATGAAAGCAGCGCATGCAGTGCTGTGCTTCCTGCAGCAGCAGCAGCAATTGAGGGTCCTCGAGAGTCTTGCTGCTGCGACTGTATTCCTCCTGGGGATTGGAAGCAGCAGCAGGGGGGCCCTAAGAAGGGGAGAGGAGGAGCAGCAGCAGGTTCTGCATCTTCTGCTTCTGCTGCTGCTGCTGCTGCTGCTGCTGCTGCTGCGGAGCCCTGGGGTGTCAGGCTGCAGCATGATCTCTCTTTTCAAAGAGATATCATAGAACAAAGAGCAGCAGCTTCTTCTTTCCTCCCCGATTGGGCCCATGCCTGGCTGCAAAAAATCTTAAGTCTTGTTGAAGTCTCCTCCAAACCTGACGTAAGGGTTTAGGGTTTAGGGTTTAGGGTTTAGGGTTTGGGGTTTGGGGTTGAAGGAGCATCTCGAGGCATCATTTCCCTGTCTTTGGGTTTGACGGGTGACCCAGAGATCCTCCTCTTAAGCCCCCCTAATGTTTAGGGTTTAGGGTTTAGGGTTTAGAGTTTAGGGTTTAGGGTTTAGGGTTTAGGGTTTAGGGTTTGTGTGCAGGAGAAGAGTGGGGGTTTGATGGGTCGGGTTGATCGAGGGACGAACTTAGCTTTACGTGCTGCTAGCCAAGCTATCTTTAGTCATTTGTCGGAGGAGACAGCAGCAGAGTTAGTAGATTCATTTGTCTCTTGGGCACGCTATCCCTATCCAGACGGTGTTCGTCTTGCTGCTGTTGTTGCTCTGTCTCTTGGTGCTGCTGCACCCCACTTGCTGCTGCCGAAGCTGCTAAACCTCGCAGAGACGCAGCTCTTAGAAGGCCCTTCTTCTTCCTCCCAGCAGCAGCAGCAGCAGCAGCAGCAGCAGCAGCAGCAGCAGGAGGTGCGTGTATATGGGGTATCGTTCCCAAGGAGACAGTTAAAGACAGGATTGTCTCCTCGTAATATTGATTGGTTGCTGCGGCTGCTGTGTGCATGCATTCGTGGGTGTGGGCCTGTAGCTGTCCCTTTTCAGCAGCGGCTGCTGTCTCTAATGCATACAGTGCTGCAGCACCCTAAGAAAGATGTTTATAGGCTGGGTATTAAGCTGATGCGCAGGTGTATAGAGACTTGGGTTAGCGTGTACCCCTGGGGCCTCTCTCATTGTAGATGCATGGGTCCTAATGACTGGAGAGACAGTAAAAGGAGACAGTTGTTTTTGCTTTGTTGGGGGTCTCCTTTCTTCTTAAGAAGAGGAGCAGAAGTGCTGCAGTGGCATACACCTTCTTTTGAAGAGCTTGCTGCTGCTCAGCGTTTTGCTGCTGTTGGTCTTGCTGCTATCCGCTTCCTACTTCTTCCGCTGCTACCAGCAGACATTGCTGCTGCTGCTTCTCCTGCTGCTGCGCAGCAAGCAACAACTCTGCAAGGAGACGAAGTTGTTGCTGCTGCTGCAGCTTTCCAGACAGAAGGAGAAGACACCCAAGCAGCAGCAGCAGCAGCAGCAGCAACAGCAACAGCAGCAGCAGCAGCATGGAGCCCTATACTAGGGGACCTCGACGAGCTGCGCGGTCTCCCTGCGAATTTCATGGGTCCCTTAACAGAGGAGGAGGAGGCCCCCACAGCAGCAGCAGCAGCAGCAGCAGCAGCAGCAGCGGGAGGGAGCGTAGAGGAGAGCAGCAGCAAAACCCGAGCTCGTCTCTCTAGAGCTTTAAAGATAGCAAGGCTGCTGACGAAAGCAGCAGCATCGCAGCAAGCTGATGATAGACCCAAAAGAGTACCCATGTGGTGTGTAGTTACACCCTACGAGATGCTTCCTGCTGCTGCAGGCCCTATCTCCAGCAGCAGCAGCAGCTGCAGCAGCAGCAGCATTCAGGTGTCTCCGTTTAGAGCAGCAGCAATTGTAGAGGCTGTTGCTGGGCTTATCGTTGTTGTAGGGAGAACACAGCTGCCGCTGCTGGAGGGGCCCCTGGTGCCGCATAGGATAGCAGCAGCAGCAGCAGCAGCAACAGAAGCAGCAGCAGCAGCAGCAAGGGGATCAGGTGGAGTATCGGGATCGTGCAGCATCGCAGTAACAGCAGCAACAGCAGCAACAGCAGCAGCAGGGTCGGCTGTGCAAGACGGGTCTCTTGCAGCAGCAGATAGAACAGAAGAAGCAAAGCTGCTGCAGCGCTTCCTAAAGACATGCAGACAGCTGCTGATGAGGCCCTTCACTTCGTGGATCTATGACCTGGGGAAGATAAACAAAGACGATGCAAGCAGACACAATGCCGGATTTGAAGCGGGAGTAGAGGTACTCTCTTCTTGCTACGGTATGCTGCTGCTGCTGCTGTTGCTGCTGCTGCAGCTGCTGTTGCTGCTGCGGCTGGTGCTGCTGGTGCTGCTGCTGCTGCTGCTGTTGCTGCTGCTGCTGCTGCTGCTGTTGCTGCTGGTGCTGCTGCTGCTGTTGCTGCTGCTGCTGCTGCTGCTGGTGCTGCTGGTGCTGGTGCTGCTGTTGCTGCTGTCGTTGTTGCCGTTGTTGCTGCTGTTGTGTACGTCGTGTGGTGGTGCTACTGTAGCTGCTTCGTATGTTGTCGTTGCTGCTGGTGCTGCTGCCTTTGCTGCTGCTGCTGCTGCTGCTGATGTTGTTGTGGCTGTTGTTTCTAGCGTAGCTGTGACTGTTGTCGCTGCTGCTGCTGTTGCGGTTGCTGTTGCTGCTATTCCATCGTCTATTTCTTTGCTGCTTTTGCGCCCCAATTATTCTCTTTTCTGCTGCTGCTGCTGCTATCACTGCTGCTATTACTGCTGCTGCTGCTGCTGCTGCTGCTGCTGCTGGTGTGCTGCAGCAATATACAGCTCTGGGTTCCTGCATGACGTACCGCGGTGTGTGTGGGCCCAAGGGGTTTGCAACGCTTGGGGCTTGCGTTTAGCTTCGCGTCGCATGCATGTTGAAGTGTCTCCTTGGAGGGAAGAGCTGCTGCTGCTTACTCTTAACCTCGCTACTTATCATTATGCAGAGGCAAGCGCGAACTGTGCATGCACTTTACTGTCTCTTCGTTTCTGTCTCTATATATATCTCTCTCTGTCTCTCTCGTTGTCTCTCTTTGTCTCTCTTTGTCTCTATCTGTCTCTCTCTCTCTGTCTCTCTTTCTTTCTCTGTCTGTCTGTCTGTCTGTCCGTCTCTCTCTCTCTCTCTGTCTCTGTCTCTCTCTCTATCTCTCTCTCTCTCTGTCTATCTCTCTCTCTCTCTGTCTCTCTCTGTCTCTGTCTCTCTCTGTCTCTGTCTCTTTCTGTCTCTGTCTCTGTCTCGGTCTCTCTGTCTCTGTCTGTCTCTGTCTCTGTCTGTCTCTGTCTGCTTATCTCCTCTTAATTGTCTCTGTTTGCTCTGTTTGTTTTGCTGCTGCTAGCTGTCTCCTTGTCTCTCTTATTGTTGCAGCTGCGTATACACCTGAACTGTCTCTCTTTCCTGCTGTCTCCTCCTGCTGCGTATGTTTGCATATAAAGTGTCTCCTTGTCTATTTTTTTGTCTCTTGTGTCTCCTTTGTTTATTATTTATTTCTTTTGCTTCTGTCTCCTTTGCAGA